CATCTCGTATGGCTAGTATACATCGGGCACGTTTTGCCACAGCCCTACCTGAAAGAGCAGCCCTCAAAAACGCTGCCCTGCTTCTCGTCGTACTCCGTGCTCCATGCCAATCCCTGTGATGCACCGCCCGCCCCATCGTATGCTTCCTATTGAATCGTAATATGCCATGACGCCCGCATCATAGGTCTCCCATGTCTCCACTGACTCCTATGCAAAACCTGACAATCTACACACGCTTGAAAAAGTAAATGTAGGCAAACTTCTTCATCTCCTCCACGTCCACAACTTCGACCACCTTTTCGTCGTTGAAAAGCACCCACGACACCTTGTCGCTGTCCTCCGCCAGCCTCTTGCGGATGAACGCGACGTAATGGCCCGCATGGATGCTCGTGCCCTTGTGGCACACAATGCTCTGCAGCTGGTAGTTTGCGGGCGTTTCGCTGGTACCCGCCGGGGGCCGCTCGGCGGACGAGCCAGCGGCCTCTGCGGCGGCCGAGTCGTCCTCGCCCGTGGCTTCGGGGTGGCTGAACAGCCACTCAACAGCCCGCTCGACATCACCGCCGGTCTCGCGAAGCGCCTGCTTGGCCTGCGGCTCCGCAAAACCCATGGCACCGAGCATCTTGATCTTCTCGGGATCGGCCGTTGTTGCACCTCCAGCACCGCCACCGCCACCAGCACCAGCGCCAACCACAAGAGGCTCGTCAATGTCCGGGTCCTCCATGTGGCCAAACAGCCACTCCATCGCTGCGTTGGCGTCACCGTTGCCTGTCGCATAGAGTGCCTTCTCGCAGCGCACGAGGGGAAAGCCCATGCCCTCGAGCTGGGCGACCGCCTCGGGATTGGCGACAAACGCGGGCGCGCCGCCCCCCGTCGAGGCATCCTCGGGGAGGAGCTCCTCGCCCGGTTGCTGGCCCGGCGACAAGTACCCATCAAGGGGGAATGCCGCGTCGTCGACAAGCACGGGCACATCGACTTTGATGGGCACCCAGTTGACCAGCGTCATCTTGCGCGCGTTGACGACAAAGACGTCGGGCAGCGTCTTGAAGAGCGACCGCTTGGTGTACCCGTCCTTGCTGCCGCAGGCCGCGCACGTCAGCTCGACCGTCTCTTCGCCTGTGAAGCGGTCGAGGCAGTCCTTGAGCGTGACGGGCTTGTACCCGGCATCCGCTGCGTCCGGTCCGTCGCCGGCCGGCAGCTTCTCCAGCGGCACGTCGATGAAGATGCTGTCTTGCTCGTTTGAGGTGTACCGCACCTTCTTGCAGCTGAGGCACTGCAGGCGCTGCTCGAGCGTGAAGCGGAACGGCGCCGTCGGATCGTCGGCCGGCGTCGCGTGTTTGGAGCGCGTGATGAGCTTGATCAGGTGCTGCAGAAGCTCAAACGCGTCCTGCTGCCGCATTGTCGAGAACTCTTCGTGGCCGCGGCCCACGAGATGCTTGAGCATGGCCGGCTCCAGACCCTTTTGGTGCGGCACGACGGCATCGTCGCCCGTGCTGGCCGACGCCTCGGCGTCGGGCTTCGAGTAGCGGCCTGACAACAGACCGTCCCCCACTTTGCGCAGCTGTGTTTCCAAGTCGTCGGCCGGATCGCGAATGCCAACCATGTCCTGGTTGATGGCGCCATAGCGCTTCTGGAACGATGGCAGGTCGTACAGGCATTGCAGGATGCTGGCCAGGTAGCAGCTGTTGCCGAGGTTCTTGAGGCCCGTCAGGCCCTTGCCAAACAGCGGCCGCAGCTCCTTGCCGTCCTCAGTCGTCATCGTAAACTCCCAGCGCAGGTTCTGCTCAATCTGCATCTCCGTCAGGCTCTTCTCTGTCTTCTGGCGATCGGCCAGGACGATGCCCCAGTGGGCCAGGTGGTCGCCGAGCTGGTCGTCGATGCGCTCGTCGTCACACGTGTAGCAGTAGACATCGGCATGGCCCTCGGGCGTAATCGAGCCCAGCTTGACGGCCACGCCGTGGCCTGACGCAGTGGCGTGCGCCAGGCCGTGCGAGTTGCCGCCGACGCCGCCGAACTGCGCGCGGCCGCAGCCCAGGTTGCCGCACTGCAGGCACAGCCACAGATTCTCGTTGAGCTCGCACAGCGTGCAGTGGCCGAGGTCCTGCGACGCGATCGTCCGCGCTGCCTCTTGCTGCAGAGAGCGGATGTGCTCGCACGAGACCAGCTCCTGCTCCCAGGCCTTGACTTCTTCCTTGCGCGAGAATGTGTTGGCCTTGAGGATGCCGTCGACAATGGGCGCCAGTTTCGGGTCGGTCTTGTCGAGTTCCGTGTCGCATTCGAAGCACTTAACGGCCACGGCCGTGTCGTAGCGGTCGTCTTCGGTCTCGGCGGCGATGGCGAGCTTCGACATCTTTGGGGGCGGCTCGTCGCGCACGACCACCTTGCGCGTCCGGCGAATGTTCAGCGCCAAGGGGTGTTTCCAGACAATGTTGTGCATCTTGGCATGGTGCCGGTCGCCCGTGCAGCCGCCGTTGAAGCACTGCAGGCAGACATCAAGGCCGTCGGGGTCATCCTGTGGGAGGACCAGGGCGGTGGTTAGCAAGTCGTTGGTGGGTGCCCGGCGGACAACACAATTCTCGGTGCTGAACGTACAATCGAGTCAAAGCATTCTGTGCAATCCTCACGGTAGACGGACTGAGCGGGTGTAGGAGGTCGAAGGCCTAGATGACGAGCAACGGCCAACATGTTAGTAATGTGAGCTTCAGTCTGTAATCTCTCTACTTCGGGGACCGAAGCACGCAAGCCGTACTTATCGAGGCCAGATGAGGGCACGCCATAGCTGCGATGAGGTGCAGCAAGTGATCTGGAAGCGGTCTCGTGTTCAATCTGCGGTACTGTGTTGTGAAAACAAGTGTTTGTGAAGGGGAGAAGAGTACAACCGGGAAAATGCTCCGAAGAAATAAAGCAAACAAACGCCACAGCTCTTTATGCGCGGCGCCGGTGGCTGCTGCAGGCAAGCTTTCGCGGGGTATTGAAAGCAATTGATTCAGCCGCAGGCTACACCGACGTAATGGTACAACAGCCTAGCACGCCGTAGCTGCCTGGAATGAAGCCCCGCTCCACCGTTGGCCCTGCGTCACTAGCCAACGCTATGGGGGCAAAAGAGGACAGGCAGACCAGCGACCGCGGCAAAAGAAACAAATAGGGGCGAAAACATGGCCTCTGCCAAAGGCATCCATGTCATGCACGGCGATGTTCAATTGTTTCATCGACAAAAGGGCGCATTCCTTATTTTTGCAGGCTAGCTCCGATGGCAACCACAGAAGATACCATAGCCATCGCCGCATTCACCGAAACACGCTGTGGTGTCTGGCAAAGTCGTGGTCCTCTTAACGATGTCAGGTCGTCGGTTGCGCCAGTGTACCTTTTTGCCAAACGCCTGTTGACACACCGATTAAGGTAAACAATATGTGTTGTAGACTGAAAACTTGTTGACCTTTGTTGTTCTACCATAGCAAATTATATGAGTATCTATCTACACCAGCACCTTTACCAGCCTTGTCTTGCTATGCCCCCTTCCTTGAGTGGTGCGAGCTCGTCTTGACTATGCTTTCCAGCGCCGGGCCATCGTCATGGCATCATCAAGCTGCTCCTCCACGCTCTCGCGCGGTTGCCCCTGTGTATTCTGTGGCGTCCACTGCGAGAACGACGATGGCGCAGTGGGTGCTTGCCGTTCCTGCTGGCGCTGCCGGGCCAGTTCCTCTTGCACGTTCTGTTGCCGATGGTGATGCTGGGCACCCATGGCCTGCAGCCGAAAGGTGTCGTGGATGGTCCGAGATGTGTTGCGCACATGAATTTTCCTCATGCGCTGGACGTGCATGGTGAAGCCGTAGGCCACCGCCATCAGACAGACACCCAGAAGGCCGCAGGAGACTCCAATGACCACGCCTGTATTTCCGTCGGATGGCATACCAGATCCTAGCAGGCCTCCTCCGGGCGGCTCTGGATAATAAACGAGTGATGGCGAAGGGAGGGTGGTCGAAATGGGTGTGGGCTGGATGGTGGGAAAAAGGTTGGATGGCATCACGTTCTCGTGGCGTATCTCGTCTGCGACATTCAAACGCTCGTCCTGTTTGTTTGCAATCGTGTTTGCAACGAACATAGCGTTCCTAGCCAGAGGAGAAGGAGGCATGGCCACAGGGTCGGTGTTGATTGGGATGTTTGGTTGCTGGAGGATGGAATGAAGAAGCTGAAGACAGACAAGCAAATATCGATCCAGGCTGCGTCACGTTCTCTTATACATATACCATGAGAAAAAAAAAAGAGACACAATCTAGAGGTACTTGCCATCCGTGACTGATGAAAATGCACGGAGCAAGTTCGTTTCATGTTTCTAGCTTCATGTTGTCCCCAACGCCTCTCTTGTTGAATTTCATAATGGTATTTGGAAGTATCTGGTGAGATGTCACACGACCATAGCACTGTGAAGAGCTTCATGTCGGTGTTGTAGACCAAGTCTGTGATAACTCACTTTTGGTGCGGATGTGTAGTCCCGTTTTGAAACAATCAGACATTTCCGCCCTTGTTGAGGCCAAACAAGACTTTCGCGGGAAGTTTTGCGGGCATTGCCGAAAATAGTACACAATAGGAGACGTAGTTGGATCGAGTGATAGTAGTTATGTTGTTTCAATCAGATATGGTACAACTATGTATGCAAACACGGACCAGCAGAATGGCGGAAGACTGTAAAATACAAAGCGTAAATAAGCCAGAAAAAGAAATACAACTCCCCAGGTGATGCACCGAAGATACAAATGTTTGTAGGAAAAGTAGTGGGTATATCCAATGCAAATTGAGTTTCTGACACGATGCATATGATGTGTCGACAAAGGAAAAAAAAATAATATGAAGGAAGGATCAACGGGAAATTCGACAAAAGAAAGTGGAAAATTGGAATGTCTGTGCTCCTCCAACTATTGCAGCCCGGAAACTAACGCCGATAAAGAGTAGATGATGAAATCAAACAAAAAAAAAAAAAAAAAAAAAGAAAAGATGCGACCAGGCTATGTCCCAAGCAGACCTTCCCGCAGGGCCTCTTCATCGACCACATCCGCGTGCACATTGCTGGGCACGCCACGGCGCTGGTGGGATGCCCAGTATTCAAAGAAGCCCGGGATGGCGCCTGGCTGGTTGATGCCGGGCGAGCGCAGCACACTGAGATCGTGCATGGCCTTGGTGGCGGCGCTCTTTGCGTTGACTGTGCTCTTGGCGCTGGAAAGGCCTCTGCTGCTGTTCCTTCCGGGAACGTCCACTGCCACCGCGATGGGCGTCGCGGATCTCGTAGCGTCCGACGCACTCGTGTCTGACACAATCGATTCTGCCTGTGACGCACCGGGCGTGGGCTCGGACACTGTCGGGGCGATTGCCATCGCCGTCGTCGTGGTGGCCATCGCCGGCGTGGCTACGGCAGCGGTCGCAACCGTGGGCGTGGCCGCTTGGGTGGGGGGTGCCGCTGCAGATGCCGCCGCCGTCGTGGTTGTGCCACCGCCACCCCAGGGCCGCCAGCCGACATACTTGCCCAGTTTACGAGCGCCAGAGAGGGTGGCGGCCGCTTGGGATACGGTCGACAACGAGGCGCTGGCAGACGTGGTGGCTGCCGTCACCGGGCTGGACACAACGCGAGACGTGCGGGCGGCCGGAACGCCGAGAGAAAGATTGCCTCGTAGCATGTTGTTGCTCTTCAGCGTATCTGGGCTGGCGCGGGTGATCACAGGACGGGCCGTGATGGAGCTGAGCCCCGTGTCGGCCATGGCCGTGCCCAGCGGGCGCAGAGTGAGCTGGCTCGGGCGTGTCTTGAGGGTGTGGATATCGAGGCCGCCCTGCAAGGAGATGATGGACTCGTGGGACACGGCACGATGCAGTGGCCGGTGATGCCGGCTGGGAAGCGCAAAGTGGACGTCTTCGTCTTCGCCGGATTCTACCACGTCATCGTCGTTTGGGAACGACAGAGGCTGGGTCGGCTTCGGCGTCGTCGCTTCTGCTTCCGACAGGGCCGATTCGTCGGCAGTGCCAGTTGCGTTCGATGCAAAGTCGGGCACGTCGTCGATACTGTGACCTGCGTCCGACTGCGCTTCGTCATGCACTGCGGCAGCCACGTCATGGTCCTCAGCAGAAACAGCGTATTCGTCGTCTTCCATGATCGGTTCAGGTAGCTGAGGTAGCGGTTGCGCTGGCTGATCCGATGGAGCCGGAGACGAGAAAGAGAGCGGTTGAGGGAATCCGCACGCGATCTGGTTCTCGTCAAGGTTGGGCATGCGACTAGATGAGCGCCAAGTCGGAGACAGTGGATCCACACTTGTTGTCGGAGACACGGGCATCGATGCATCCGACAGTAGCGAGCGGTCGAATACAGATTGGCGTGGGTCAATACGCGGCGAGCTGGGTACCGAAGACATACTAAAGTCGGACGGCTGGTCGGAGAACATGGACCACCGATTGGATGGGCCGGACATGGCCGTCGAAATCGAATCTCTACTGAGGTGGTGGGAGTGGCGCGTCGGTGGGCTCGAGCCTGGTGTGGCAGACAAGGCGTCCTGCTGGTATGGCAGAGACGGCCGGTAGAGGGGGGTGGAAGGCGTAGACAAGGTAGCTGGCGGCGGCGTGAAGACGGTCGGGGTCAGGCCAGTGCGCTTCTTCTTGGGTTTCTTCATGTCCATCTTCTTGCTGTTGACGTGGTAGTGGTGATGGTGAATGTGGAATTCCTGCGACAATGATGGCTGATGGTGCCCCGGCTGTGGCGTGGACGGCGTGGATATCGTGATGGACGCGTCAATGGCTTCTAGTGCGTCGTTGGGGTCGCGAGGATCGTGCCGGCCCCTGTCGCCCGCGTCGTACGGCTCTGGACTTTGGGGCAGATGATCCGTCTCCAGCTCGGCACGCAATGTGGATGCGGCGCTCGCATCGTGCTCCACCAGTGGCTGGTGGAACATGAGCTGGTCGCGCAGTGCTTGGATCTCGTCGTTGGACGTCATGAGCATGTCGCGCAGCTCGGCCATACCGAGCTGAAGATTCGCATTGTCCTGCAGCAGGTCGCGCACAAAGTGGGAAACGACGGCACTGCCGGCATTGTTGCTCTTGGCATCGTGCAGCGATTTCGTCGCTGCGGCACCCTTGAGGCGACCGGCAGCCGTATTCAGCTCCTTTTCGACAGCACGTTGGCGTTCCATGCGGCCCATGACCTCCTTGTGGCGTGCCTGTTCTTCACGAGACTCTTTTTCCATCATGTCGAGCTGATACTGCAGGTCAGCGATGCCCCGTTCGGCGCGCTTCCAGCGCTGGACGGCGGACCGGGCCTCGGACTCGGACGTGATGAGGTTGTTCTGGAGCGTGGCCTGCTCAGCCTCGAGGACGGCCAAGTGGCGTTCCATGTCCTCCGCTCGCTCGGCGGCGCCCTCCAGGCGGCGGATGATTTGCTGGGACGACTGCAGCGAGGCCTCGAGCATCTTGATGTGGGTGTCCGAGTCCGATGCCGTCGTGTTCAGGGTCTCGAGCTGGTCGAGCAGGGCCCGGTTCTCTTGAATCTTCTTTGCATTTTCGGCCTCGAGCTCCTTTTTGTCCATCTCAAGCTGACCAATGCGTTTGACCAACTCGGCACGGTCGCGTTCGGCATCGGCCATGTACGCTTCGTGCCGTTCGAGGAGCGACTGTCGTATGTTAGCAGCTGGTTATGCGCAGTGCATGATTGGGGGATGTATTGGAGAATACAGAAAATGCAAATGTGCAGGCCAAAAATGAATGTGAAACCAGGGAAAGGAAGGAAGAGAGGAGAGAAGGATAAAGGTAGGGTCGCGTTCGAGATCGGGTCATGTTTCCAGCTACCGGGTAGCGAGGGACAAACATGGCATCGCTTGGGCACGAGGGCAGAAGACACATGGAAGGAATGGCGATGGAGACACTTAACTCCACGGGCAAACAAGATGTGTAAAATAACATGAGGTAAAATGCGCGAAGAGGTGCGAAGAAGCGCGAGGAAGAGAGGCGTGGGGGGAAATATGAGAAGCCCTTACCTGACCGAGTTTGGCGGCTGTACGGACGTCATTCTCGACGCTCTCCAGCACCGTGCAGTTGTGCTGCAAATAGACGCAGCCAACCTGTCCGCAGCAGCACTGCAACGCACTGTCGGGGGCGCCTTGTTGGGTGGTAGGAGGAAGTGGTGTTGAAGTCCCGGACCGAGACACAGGGCCAGAGCCGGCAGCCGTGCTCTCAGGGTCTCGCCGCGGGTGCGGGCTCGTCATGTCTGCCATAGCTGCCAGAAGACGGGCTGGAATGCAGTTTGGAAATTTGGGCTCCGCATACTGGGGCAGCCAATCGAGAAGGACGGACGCAATGAATCGGGGGACGACGAAAATGTAGATAAAGATTGGCGAGCGCTCTGGAATGTGAAAAGATTGGACGGGGACGGGCTTGCGCTCGACGAGAGACGCGAAGGCTCAAACTAACATCCTTTTCGTGCGGCGTATGTAGAATAGGCACAGGGGACAACCGTGGTGCGTTAGGGCGGCCGAAAAGAAAGACGAAAAAGTAGAAGGTGGGTGACAAGAAGGCGAAAAAGACGAGAATGAAGACGAAAGGCGTCAGTTCGCGATCGTGACAAGAAGCACCCGCGATGACCAGCACATGGTGTGTTTTGTCTGTCCGAGAAGCGTCTGATCAGGAAAGCTCCTGTGTCGGCAGCTGTAGGAGATCGAGGAGGAGAAGAGCGTAAATCGGCTTGGTGTTGTTGTTTATGTCGAGGTTGTCGAGAAAAAAACGTTGCCGAGTCTGGGTCGGAGAGCAAGATCGCACGGGTAATGCCGTCTGCCGGTTGCGACCCGCCGGATGCCGCTTCGAAAACGAGTGAGATGTAACGAAAGATTTGGCAACGATGTTGCGGATAAAAATGATTGCGAGGGTGTCGTTGTCTTATGTTTGAGGGAAAAAAGGACTGGAAAAGCGTCGCGACGTTGGAGGGGTGGGAGGGAAGGTGGGCAGGCAGCACAGGGGAGTATCGCGACAGTACGAAGTAGGAAGGCGAGGCCCGGATCGCGGCTCTCTGCAAGGCAATCGAAGACACGCGGGAATGGCGCCCAGACGCAATGGGAGATTGATGGGTACTAGTACTGGAATGGTACTGTCTGGGCGCAGCTGGCCGTGGAGATACCTGCAGGTACAAAATGGAAATCAGTAATTAAAGACCTTGCAATGCGCGCTAGAACGTTTCCAGGGTAGCGTGAAGAATAAAGGCCGCTCACTCGCTAAAAGTGCGCTGAGTGTTAACCTGTTTGCAGTGTTAGTCCAGCATGGTGGGTTCTGTTTTTCCATGTCTTGGCCTGGCTGAAGAACTGTCCGCGTCGAGTTCCACGGCACGCGTCAGGCACTTTGAGCCCCGCTCAGGTTCCTCATCCACTCACCGGGAGACTGGTTGGCTGTGGGCGCACAACGACTGGAGGCCGACATAGTTGGCCAAAACAACACACACCCTCCACCAGCCACCGGCTTTTTTCTGTTGTCAAAAGTAGAAGAGGGTGTGAAGGCAGACGACGCGTTCGAGATGCACGGAGCAAAACTGTTGGCTGTAAAGACATGAATGCACGCTTTTGTTGACGAGTGATGTGGCACGCAGTTTGGTTTCGTTTGTGTATTGAGCGAAGTCGTTGCACTTCTTAATGAACGGTCGACGAAGGGAAAGCTAGCTGCAGAACTCGGCGAGCTTTGAGGTTGTATAGACGTTGACTTTTGGCGGGGAGACTGGTGACAGTGCTAGCCAGAACGTCATATCTTACGTCCATCTGTCACTAGGAAAAATAATCACACAGGCGTGTTCTCGTCCTATAAGCAGAGCCATACAAAACACAAGCAAATCATGGCACGATAAGGTCATTCACAAAGAAATACAATTCAACTAGTATCGCCCCCCACATGTTCACGGGGGACCCAAGGTCAGCACATCCACACCGGCCACCAGCTGGCTCTTGGTGGGCATCTTGCCGACATTCATCAGCTCGGCACTCTGTACCATGACGGGGTCCTTGCCCATCGTAGCCACGGCGACGATGGTCTCGCCCTTGGTGTAAAACGCGGCCCACGAGCCGGAGTCGAAGCTGCCCTGCAGCACAATCTCGTCGAACCCGGACGCGGCCGTGTTGCCACAGTAGCGCAGCTGCGCCGACAGCGCCGACCAGAAGACGGGCGTGAAAAAGGAACCCGGTCCCCTGTTGCTGCCGGACAGCGTCGGGTCGACAATGTGCTCGGCGGCGATGCGGCCGGCCTTCTGGGCGACGTTCCAGTGCTCGATGCGGACCGGCTTGCCCTCGCCGCCGGGGCCGTGGTAAGGGAACGTGGCAATGTCGCCGAGGGCGTAGACGTCCTGGAGGCCGGCCACCGAAAATGTCTCGTCCGTCTTGAGGGAACCGTCCGACTCGAGGCGGACCGCACTGTTGTCGCGGAGGTATTCGGTGGCCGGGGCGACGCCGATGCCCAAAATCACCAGGTCGGCCTCGAGCTTGGTGCCGTCCTTGAGGAACACGGCCCCGACCTTGGTCGCGTCGGCGGCCGACGGCTCGGCCTTGTCGACGGATGCCGACAGGTAAAACTTGACGCCGTTCTTCTCGAGCCCCTTCTGGGCGGCGGCGCCGACCTCGAGGCCCAGCACGCGCTCCAGCGGCACCTTTTCCATGCCAATCACCGTCACGTCGTGGTTCTTGGCCGTGGCGTTGGCCACCTCCATGCCGATAAACGACGAGCCGACAATGACGACCTTCTTCTTGGCGCCGTCGCCGGCGCCCAGCACGCCCGTAATCTTCTGGACGTCGTGCACGTTGCGCAGCGTGAAAATGTTGCCGAGGTCCTTGAAACCGGGCAGGGGCAGCCGGCGCGCCGTGCCGCCCGTCGACAGGACCAGCTTGCTATACGGCAGGGCGGCACCGCCCTTGGTCTGCACCGTTTTGGCCGCGAAGTCGATGCTCGTGACCTCGTCCTGCACAATGGACACGCCGCCCGTCTCGAACCAGGCCGCGTCGCGCAGCTGCAGCTTGGCCGGGTCGGCGATGAGCGCCTTGGAGAGCTTGGGGCGGTCAATGGGCAGGTAGCCCTCGTTCGTGACGACCGTGATGCTGCCGCCAAAGCCCTTTTCGCGGAGGGCCTCCACGGTGCCAATGGCGCCCGAGCCGCCGCCCACGACCACGACCTTATTGGCGTCCTCCTTGGCGACGGTGGCCTTGAACTTGGGCTTGCGGCGGCCGGCCTTGATGGTCTCCTTGTCGCCCGTAATGTAGACGGCGCCGTCGCGCTCCGCGACCTTGAAGGTCGGCAGGTAGTCGAGGGCGGGGGCGTCTTCCACATCGCCCGTCTTGGCATTGAAGCAGGCGCCGTGCCACGGGCAGGTGATGCGGCCGTTGGCCGTCAGGACGCCCTTGATGAGGGGGGCGCCGTAGTGCGTGCATTTGGGCCCAATGGCCTGGATGGTGCCGGCGGCGTTGACGAGCAGGACCTTGGCGTCGTCAATGCCTTCGACCTCGACCTCTTTCTTCTCGCCTACCTTGAGGGCCAGCGACGAGACGTCTTTCAGCTTGAATTCGGCCATTGTGCGTGCTGTCGTGGATATGGGGGAAATGGGCGGGCGTCGCAGCAGGAGAGGTTGTAGTAGCAAGGATCGTGCAGCCAATGGCGGTGCTCGTGTTCGTCGTGGCAATTGAGCAGCAAAAATACGATGGAGGACCGTCAAGTTCGATGCTCTTTGGAAATACGGGGCGGCACAAGTCATGAAGGAGGAAACAAGGACAGAAGTCGTGCCGGCCGGGAAGTAAAGCGTAAAAGGAGAGGGAGAGGAGGGGCCCAGGGGGACCTGAACACAGAGAGACGGAAACGGCACACGTACCGTAGATTGGCGTCTATTCTGGAGGCGGGGTGTGTCACGGAATGGTGTGCGAATTGCTTCAGATGGATGAAGAGTGGGGAGGAGAAGTACGAGGGAAGAAGGGGGAGGACAGGTAAAGAAATATGCAAGATTTATCAGCGGATACTATCCTATGTCATGTATCGTACTTGGCAAGGGCGATCGATCAGTAGACGAAACTGACGAAGCCGGCGAAAACGTCATCTGCGGACGGCCGGACACAGGCGGCCGAACGCAGCTTCATCGCGTTTCGACGTACGAAAAGAAGTAATGTATCATTACGGGCACGCTCACTGGCTGGCCGATTTGGGCTTTGTGGTAGCCGAAGCAGACAAAGCAGCGTATCTCGCCCGGCAGACGTATGACGACATGAGTGCGGGCGCTGTCGAGATGCGGGGGAAAGCTGCTGTTAAGGTGGTTCGAGTTGGTGATGATAACGGCCGTAGGCGGGGCAGGGTAGCCAATTATAGTGCATTGATTACAGGTGTGTTATGGAGCTACTAGCTGGAATGCAAGCACACCACAACCGCCGCAGATGCTGTCTGATTGTGAACGGTAATTACAAGTTTACGCTAGAAACCGCACGGCGCTTGTATACGCTAAAATCCAAACACCCCTGAAAGACGGTTTTGATGCGTAATTACTCCCCAGGTCATTCTCCTCACCAGAACCCCAGGAATTGGTCGCAGCCTTGTCGACCTTGCTTCCCGGCTCCCATCACGCTGCCCGAAGATGTGCCACGTGGCAAGAATGCCATTCTCACCCAGTCTGGCTTCGTCACGCGGGATGGCGATGACCAACCAGCCAGCCGACTCGCTTTGCCATTTCCTGCGGTTCGAGAGGAGTGCATCCGCCAGCACGGCGCCCGTTCCAAAAACCCCAACCTCAACCGGCCGCCTCCAGTGAGGTTTCCACCGCTCGACCTCTTTGTCAAGTTCGGTTGCCTTGTGCCGAAGGCAGAGGCTCAATGCCTGCTCCTCGTACAGAAATACCTACCCACGGTGCCTGTCCCCGAAGTCTACGGCTGGCAATATGACGACAGTCAGTGCTTTATATATGTGGAGTTGCTTGAAGGAGAGGCACTAGAGGATTGCTGGGACGATCTCTCCGAGGATGACTAGGGTCAAATTTGCCAGCAGCTGCGTGGACTTGTTGACACCTGGAGGCGGCTCCCACGGACGCTATTCGCCAGTCGACCGTTAATTTGTTTGCTGTTTGTTATTGTCACACCCACTCAAGTCAAGCCGATATGGTATTCTAACTGGGCTGCGAGCCGCAGGTAATGTCGCCGGCGGGTCTTTGCTTGACTGGATATTCGTCAATTCCTGCGCCTTAAAGGAGGGACTGTTACGTCCTGGGCGCTACTTCAACGTCCAGTAGCAGGTGCTTTTGCGGCTTGATGCTGGTCGTCTGCGTCACACCTTTTGAGAAAACAAGTGCACAAAACATCACCAGGCGTTTCCAGCCGAGATGTGTATAGGCGACTAGAAGTGTGATGAAGTGAGTCCTGTATGCTCGTGATCCAACGACCTTCCTTTACATGAGACCGGTCGGTTGAAGCCAAGTCCAAGCAACCAAGCCGGGTCGTCAACCGAAGAGTGGGAACGCGCCAACAAGCGGCCGCGACAGTCCAAAAGTCACACGGTGTATGCTTAGCCTGGCATCTGTCGAGGCTATGACCGCTGGCAGTACATGCTCCCTAAGGGCCGTATACGTTGTCTTGGTACTGAGGTCCATGTCACCAGAGGTTGATAGTATTGGTAAGCTGCGTGTAAATATTAGTGTAAACGGGGCGCACCACACAGGAACGTAGGCAAGAATAATGCAAAGGGGAATACGAACTACATCGACAGCATGGTCTACGCTCCTGTCTGGTGGCTTTCGATTTGTCATATTTTAATGACGCGGAAGACGACTACAGAGCAGCTTTCATATTATGCTCTTGTCCAGAGACGCCCGTGATAGCTGGTGGCAGTAACGAAAAGCTGGAGCTGGCTGACATTTGATCGTAGTGCATTGATCTCCTTGGACGTGAGGCTCAGAGGACCCAATCGCGACAGTCAAAGGTATTGGGCAATGGAAATCGTGTCAAATATGTAGAACACCACAGCTTCCCCCACCACGAGAATACCTACATGTATGTGACCACACGCTCACTTCCATGCCCTACAAGGCAGTCTTACGGAGTGCTTGGCGTAAATTGTGGGGACGTATTTGGCGCTTTCTTTGCTTGGCCGTCCGTCGTCCGCGGTCGGCCGAACATGGGCCACACGCTGGCTGCTGAATAATCTAGAGAGGTCGATGTAGTAGCAGAGGGCCCGCTGCGCCTTCCTACTTCGTAGGCATACCGACCGCCTTCCTGAAATTTTTGTTTCCGAGAAACGCAGTTGAAAAAAAGGAGAGGAGAGGAAAGAGCTGGAAATCGTACTGGACGACAGAGTGATTTTGCACCGGCAGCATTCCAGAGTCAATCAACAAAAAACAGTTGCAGAAAACAAACGACAACTACACGAAATACAAACAAAGCAAGTCGACAAACACGGCGGGCGTGTTACAGGGACATCGCACTGTTTTAAGCGCCTACAGCTACCAGTCTCACTGCGGAAAAAGCCCATTCGTCCGCCGAAGCGCAAACGGCGGATGAAATTTCAGGCACCGCAACTTCTACAGTCATCCGCCGTCGGCTCGCTGAGCGACTGAAGTCGTGTCCCGCGGAAAGCTGACACCACCGAACATTGGCGAATAAAGATTCCCATCGCAGGTTGCGCTTTCACCCAGGACCATGTCGCTCTCAGGTATGGGCCTGACGCAGGCGCAGGTCCTAGACGCCCGGCGCCGCAAAGTGCGGAAAGGAACCCACAGCTGCTGGGAGTGCCGGCGCCGCAAGATCCGCTGCCAGTTCTCGTCGCCGGATGATGCTGTCTGCATCGGTTGCCGGGCGCGTGGGTCCGCCTGCCGCAGCCAAGAGTTTTCCGACGAAACGCCGTCGCCGCCACAGCAGGTGCCGGAGAAGAAGGTGGCCCAACGGCTCGACCGACTCGAGACCATGATGGAGCAGCTCATGACACATGTCATGGCGGGTCCTCCTCCTCCACCGCAGCAGACACAACATCAACCAGACCAGCACATGGGACCAGACAAGGGTCCAGCCCATGCCGGCCACGGCCATGCGACCCAGCACACGCAGGACCATCAGAGCCACCACCACCACTCGACAACTGGCAGTCCATCCGTTGCCGATGGCATCGTCCTGACGTTCAATGCCGAAAACGACTGCAATGAGTGCGATGCCAACATTGAGATAGCGTATGAGCAGGTTAGCAAAGTATACAAAGATCCGACTGACATCGTCGCCCATGTTTGCCCTACAGCTGCCGGCAAGCAGGGCTACGGTAGGCTTGACGTCCTTGAGATGTCCACAGCCGAAGACACACCCGTCGCCGCACTTCTCGGCATCCAGGATTCACTCTCCAACAACAACGGCGGTGGTGTCAGCGGCAGCGGATCAAGCCCCAACAACCATGGCACCCCGTCTTCCGCCTCCAATCTCCACACTCGCGCTACTGCTGCAGCCGTCTCAGCCGTGCTCGGCACCTCGACAGATGCGATTTTGGCTGGATCGGGCCTCAGCCCTGGCTCGATGGATGTCACCGGCAACTCTCCGAACGGTGGTCAGGGAAGTGCAGCAAGCAGCTCCAGCCAGGATGTACGTGGATCGGCAAACAGCTCGGGTTCAGCCACCTCCGACACTGGAGGTACAAGAGGCACAGCAGCTACAAAGGTCTCGACAGCACCCTCCGCATCTATGCTCTCTACACGGTCGGACGACCCGGTCAGCGAGGAGTGGCGCCGTCACCGGCACCTCAGCAGGATGTTGGTTTCGCTTTTCCCGTCACAGGAAGACATGAACACGATTGCGGCTTACTCCCCGAAGCATTTTTTGTCTCTCTTCCACTCAAAGCACGACATTGCATCCGGCCGCTGCGAACCGGCATCGAAACTGCGCGAGATCCCGCCCATGAGCCTGCACCCAACGGCCATCGCGCGGCGGCTTCTTCAATTGACCCTGTGCATGCAACGCATGGCCCCGTGCTTTGCACAGCAAGGCAAGCTGCAGATGAAAGAGCCCTTGACCTCGGTCATCAATCGCATAGCCGGCGTCGTCGCCCACACTGTCACCTCCAACGATGAACTCATCGGGTCCGTCGAGGGTCTCGAGTGCCTCGTTCTGCTCGGCGAGCAGCAGTCCAATACCGGTCAGCTGCGCAAGGCCTGGCTGAGCTACCGCCGCGCCATGAGTCTGGCCCAGCTCATGGGCTTGGACCGCGGCAATACGCGCGCGCTGAAATCCTGTGACCCGACGTCTGACGCGCGTCAGCGACCCACCCCGGCCGCCATGTGGTACCGCATCAATGCGTGCGACCGCTACGTCTCGCTTCTGCTGGGCTTGCGGGCAGGTTGCCAGGATGACGACGTTTATACGCCATCCCAGCAGACCGGCGAGAAAAACTCTGTGGAGGAAGACATGGACACGCCTGTCGAGAAGCTCGAAAAGGCGCACATGATCGTGGCCGGCCGCATCATTGAACGGAACCACAGCAAGATCTCCCTCGAGAAGTCGTATGATGTGACCCAAGCCATCGACGCCGAGCTCCAGGCGGCAGCCTCGCGCAACCTCGGTCCTACCTGGTGGGAGGTGCCCTCCTATGACCCCGGCTCCCGGCCCGACTTTATCGCCAACGAGATGTCGCGCGCTGTCCTGCAAATCCACCACCACTGCATTCTTATTTTGCTTCATCTGCCATACATGCTGCGCGGCGAACACCCGGCAGCCACCGCCGCCAAGATGATGGCGGCCTCCAGCTCGGCTGCCACGAGCATGTGTGAGGGCCACGGAATGGGCAACACGCCTTCCAATGTGGGCAATACCCCCAATGACGTGGGCATCTCCCCACAACGCAACGAGGTGTTGGACGAGAGCCGCAGCTGCGTCGGTGGCCTGGCCTATAGCAAGGCCACCTGCCTGCAGTCCAGCCGCGCCGTCCTCAAGCGCTTCGTCACCTTCCGCCAGCTCGTCAACACGGCCTTTTCCTGCCGACAAGTCGACTACGCCTCCCTGATCGCCGCCATGACGCTTGTCATTGGTTACCTCGGACCCCGTCCCACCCTCGACTCCGACCCCAACGTCTTGGATGCCTTTGACACCCAACTTCGTCTGGACCGGGCTCTGGTCGAGCAGGTGCGCGAGTCCATGGAGCGCCTCGGCAAAGCCAACAACGACAAGCTGTCACGGGAGTCGGCTGCGACGATTCAGCAGTTGATGCCCATTCTCGACTTGGTAGCCAAAAAGTCGGAGTCGGAAGTTGCCGCCGCAGATGCAGATGCAGGTGCCGCTGGCAGCAGCAACGGCCACGCCCTGCCATCACAACACCTGCAAAACAACTTTGACGCCTCGACATCGCCCACGATAAAGGAGAACAACAACTATGGCCAAGACGGCAATGTGCGGAACAACACGGCCGGTTCACATAGCGGTGACGCCGGTGTCGGTGCCGGCGCTGCCGCCGGGGCGGGCTTAACTGGAACACCAGGGGCAGGGACGTCGTCCGTCCGTCTCAACGTTCCTTACTTTGGTACGGTCAACATCCACACCAACGTTACCACGAACACGTCATCCATGTCACCGTTCTACCCACAGCCGCCACAGACCCCATACCAGCAGCAACAAGAGCAATTGCAGCTCCACCACGACTTGTCTGAGCAGCCTCAAACGACCAGTGCCTCGCTTGGTGTTGCCTCCGCCTCGACATTCAGCCCCGACGCCATCACGGTGCCCATCTCGTACGATCTCCTCTCTTCACCAAGCGCTGGCCATCCTGTGCTCGACTGGGGTAGCCATCTACCGAGTCAGGAACAGCCACATCAGCAACAGCAACAGCAGCAGCAGCAGCAGCAGCAAACGAGCCAACAAGGCTCAGTCGACCTCAACGATATGCTCGTTGACTTTGACCCCATGCCAATGAGCGACGACGGCGACACTGCCACCAGTGCTCCCAATGGTGAGGGAGGTGGTGTGCCGACCAGTAGCGACGGCCTCTATGGATTTGGCGGCGTGGCGGCC